CAGGATTTACCATTTCTTTCATGTGATCAGCCGGCCACGCGTACATGTAAATGTACATGAGCAGGGACACAGTAATTCCTGCGAACAGCATTTTCGCTATCAGTGGTGTATTCTGTTCGTAAATTACTCCAATTAGTTGGTTGTACGCAGAATCGTCGCTCAAATGCCATACTTACAATGACTATTGCTATGGCAGATATAGTTATGACAAGCATACACGCAACTATGACAAACAAAACCATGAAACGGAAACAATCGGCCACTTCTTCCGCGTATCTGGAAAAAAAAATGTAAATAATCGTGTACACTGACAAATACACCTGGTAAACCATCGCTATTACCTCTTTAAACGCAAGTGTTTCTTGATATACGGGGCCAGCATACGAATATCCTCAGTGCTCTGCAGTTCCACTATTAAACATTCGAATCTCGCTGCGGTAAACCAAATTAGTAGCGCACCAAACAAACACATACATTCGTGGGCGCATACCTGGTGGTAAGTGACGATCTGATGCGCATGTATAATAATGCTTAATAACGTCCGATTATTAACGTCAAATGGATACTCAACGAATATTATACCAATAATTGGAAGGAACAAGGGTCCGATCACACCAACGAACACCATGATGTACATAGTTACGATGTAACTGCCATAAAGCACGTTGACTCTCACAAAATACTCGTGAAGAATATCCCTCTCATAACTTTGAGCCACCTCGATGAAATTCCACAGCTCCTCTATTATACGCTGCAATCTATTCTTAAAGAATTGAAAATTTTCCACGTAAAGTAACGAGAGAAAGTAAATGGAAACTTACTTGTAGTGTGTCGTACTTGCTGAAACATATAATAGTTTGAACGATACATTGAATCTCGCATATCACCTGGATTACACAGTGAGAAAGAATTTCTATGTCCGATCGCAAATATGTCGTGTACAATGTAGGCAGAAGTAACAAGGACATGTTAATAGCTGCACAAATTTGCATTACTCTGTAAACAAAGATCACAATTTTGCTATTGCTCGCACTCAGCGGCCAACAAAATGTCAGCGCCACGCTCAGTCGAATAATGTTTATAGCCTTCTCTAGCGTTAAATTTTTTAACATAATTTTTTACGGTCGTGTCCGTCTTGTACGAACTACTTTACGAATGTGATGAAGCAGCAAAGTGGGACCTGCATTGCTATGAACTGCAATACTATTACGAGTAATTGTCGAATTGTTATAAGATATACATAAGATACTCCTTCGAACAATCGTGGTAGTTACCGCGAAATTGTCTCGCATGTATCAGGGTTTGAATAAAACATCACGCGGTGTAATAATTAGAACAGTACAAAGGTTGATAATCTCTTCCG